TGCAAGTGGGTTTTCGGGGGGGGGAGGTTTTGAGAGCCATGGGGGAGGAGGTCGGCAAGATTGAGGACGTTTTCGAGACAGCTTCTCGGATAGGTGACGTGGACGCCATGAATGAACTATTGATAGGTGCTCTCAACAAAGCAGCGGCCGACCAGCTAGCAGAGCCCCCCTGTGCAGCGAGAGCCGCAATCAGCACGCTCAGGAGGTTGGCGCCCTACTGAAAGCTAGACGGGGACTTCGTGAATCAGCAGCACACGTAGAAGACATAGAAGCACTTGCCATACATATACAGCACAAGAGCAAGCAGATAAGACAAGCCAGCACGAAATATGGGCAGCAAATACAAGAGCGACGAGCACAAGAGCTTAATTAAAGCAGCAGCACGCGAACAAAACAACTACCTAGTTCAGAAGTTAGCGAGACTGTTAGCATGTAGGCGTCGGGGCCCCCGACAGCGCCGATTTGCGGCGACGCCGAACAGCTCAAAATCGGCAAGGGCATGGGCCCACAGGATGCGCCTCCAGCCTCTCTCGGGCGGGTGTCAGGCAATCGAGAAGCACCCGATGCAGGTCAAAAACGAGATAGATCAGGAGGGGAGGGAGACGATGGAGGAGTCGGAGGCTGTGTATCTTGCTGCTGAAGACTGGGGTTTGCTCAGTCGTGCTGTATGGAAGTTACGCTTCTGGTGAACGTGGCCAGGTTGGAGCTTGCCACCAGAGCTACTACGCTTGCTTTTTCACCCGGAGTGGGTCAACGAGAGAAAGCCCAAGATCGGCGAAGGCATCGGATTCGATCAGGAGTTCGTGAAGATCGATCGATCCAGGGACGCGATGAAGGCTCTCCTGTTGGCGCGTAGGAAGCATCAGAGATTCCCCGTCATGTGGCATTGTGCACAGGCAGCACGCGTACCAAATAATAACCACAAGCTAGATTGCGACGGGAAGATATTAATCATGGTCATGTGCTGCCTGGGGCGCGCGTTTCACGCTGCTGCGCTCGCGCGTAAAGAGCCCAAGTGGAACCCGCCGAATTGGCTTCATGCGGGACTCAGGAGGCGCAGGCGCGAGTCGGCCATGGGCGCGCAACTTGTAGGATCGTACAGGGTGCAGGCAGCTGGTATCACACATGCTCAGGCGCCATGACGCTACGAACGCGTACTACACCATAAGGCACGACATCCTACTCGACAATGCGCACGCGTACTATGCACCTACTGATAGGAAGCTCATCATGTATAGGATTCGGCACAGCATGTTCCTGTTAGAGGACGAGAGCGGCTCGTTCTGGCAGCAGGCGCAGTCTGGCCTCTTTCCAGGCGACACAGGAGCCACGCAGTTGTTTTGCAAGAGCTACTCGGGCCCAATTATGGAGAAGGTAGCCGATTGTGCAGTTCTCGAAGGATGGTACCCGCATGTGGAAGCAGCCAGACCGTGGCAGCCAGACTATACAGAGCAGATCGCCCCCACGGGCTACGTAGGTGATGTAGCCAACAAGGTACTGGAGGACGGGGAGGGGGACATGGAGGATACCATCAGGAGGGGCAGCGAGGAGGAGAACCAGTCCATAGATGAGGGGCTGGGGGTCGTGGGAGCGGGACAGAACATCGCGAAGCAGGAGAATGTCTGCTACTTTCGAGGCAGAGGTGCCCGCGCTCTTCAGAGACGCCTGCGCGCTGGCGAGGCCGCAGGTATTGCAGGCAAGACCAAGCGCAACATCAGCTATCTCGGAGGCCTACAGTCGGCCACATTCACTCCTGGACCCGAACTAAGAAAACGCCTGGACGCGGCCAAAGCCTCGCACCACTCCATGGGAAAGTTCTGGTTCAGTATCTCACCGTTCTCGGTCAAACGCACGATGGTCAAGGGCCTGCACATCAGCGTGGCCCTCTCGGGGCTAGAAGTAGCGGTGCCCGGGTCGGGCCCGGTCAGAGGAGACGATCTCGGACATCTCCAGATTTCATCCTGAAGAAGTGCAGAGCCATCCTCCACGGGACCGCTAAATCGGAAGAGGGAGGAGGACACGTCAAGACGATCAAGCATGAGGAGGTGATGAGGAAGTTCAGGTTTGCCCCGCTGTCTTTGGAACTCAGAACCCGACGAATTAGGTGGTTGCAGAAACTCGTGAAGATGAGGACAATTCCCAGCTTTTATCTGCAGTATTTGGCCCGACCAAGTTTGATGGGCCCGCCTTTGTAGATGAGCGAGTTCCAGAACGAGCTAATCCTTGGGCTCGACAAGCCCAGCAAGATCTTAACGCGCTCACGGCCGCGGAGTCGGGAGCCAGCCTTGACGAATATCAGAATACTTTCGACTTTCTTTTCACGGGCTGCCGCGAGTTTGTGAGGCGCGACGTTGACGAGCTCCGCGCAAGGTTTTCTATTCTCACTACTGCCACCGACGAGCTTGCTCAGGCCGGCGACTCTGGAGGCGAGTACAGATGCATGGAGACCAAAGAAGATGACACACTATGTGGCACTACATGGCCCACAAAAAAAGCAGCTGCACGCACGTATCGCAGCGCCGCCTAGGGGCAGTCACGGCAAAGCACATATCGGAAAAGTATTGACGACGACCAGTCAATGTATGATTTGCGAAATCACGTTCAAAGGCAAAGAAATAGCACGGCAACATATAGCAGCAAGCATGACACGAGGGTACTGTCCTAAGTCGAGGGCCAGATATGCCAGTCCACTCGAGGAGCCCTCCAGTCTCAAGTGCCCCCTCTGCCTCGAGGTCTCCACCACCGTAGCCGATTTCGTCGAGCATTGCAGAGATCACCTTCAACCGCTTCTCGCACCCTCCATCTACACCAGAGAGCTGCAGCAGGATGAGCGAGGCACCGCAGTCGTGGAAGGCACGCTCTGGTGCGCGAGCAGCAAGTGCGAGAAGCAGTATATGAGGGGCGGGGGGCTTGGCGTCCAAGAAGCACAAGGCAGAGGCAGACGGGATGGGCGAGGACGAGGACGAGGTGGACAGCACGATGGCCACCATGCAGGCGCTGCTGATCCAGTTGGAAGGCCGAGTACGCGCGCTCGAGAACGAAGCGCACCGCACATCGCTCGTCGCCAAGCACACGCCGATCGTGAAGGCCATTGGCGACAGCTTCCAGGCCTTCGTGCAGAAACGCGAGGAGGCGGCGGAGGGGGCAGACATTGGCACGCCAGCGTTCCACTGCCTTTTCGGGGCTCTCGACGCTACTTCGAGCTACGAGCACAAGGACGCCTCCCCCCGCCTCCAGAGCGTCTCAGCGGCGCTCAAGCGACTGCAGGCCATGTTGGAGCACGGCGCACCCCAGGACGCGGAGAAGTGGATCCTAGAGCTGATGGTGCTGCCGACGTTCGACGAGCCAGGGAAGGAGAGCAAGGTCCGCATTATCCACAGTTTCCACGGAGAGGTGCTGCTCTCCAAGGATCAGGCAGTGAACGAGACACTCCTGAAGGCGGTGGAAGAGAAGGACAGCGAGCTGCACAGCCTCAGCCCGACGGAGAAGCCGACGGAGATGCACAAGCTGCAGGGGACGCTCGTGCCAGTCGAGACCCTCTTCGCGGAGGCGTTGAGGAGCATGGGCAGTCAGCTACTTGGAGGGCGGGCCCCAAAAGGCAACATGGTGAGGCAGCTTGGAGGCGGAGCTCGGGGACGTAAGTGAGTCATTCACACAGTCGAGGCCCCTGCCGCAGTTCCCTTATGACGGGGATAGTTGTTCCTCGGTAGGGGCCAGATCATACATTCCATGTCTAGTAAGGCGTCTACATCGATGACGCAGTGAAGTACCTAGTTGAGTATGAGCCCGCAGGTGACAATGACACCTTCCTCCCCACCCCGATGTCAGAGATTGAAAACCTCATCATCGATGACGCCGCGGAGGAGCATCGCAAGGTGTGGTTCACAGATGTGGCTGACTCGTTCGTGTTGTGCTGGGTCCTGGCGTCGTGAGTGGCCTTTCGGCATCGTGCCGCACCCCCGCGCTGGCCCCAGTCTGCGGGCATCAGCCCTCGCAGGCTTGCAAATCACCAGAGAGGGATGGGAATACACAGTTGTTCCCCCCCATCCCAGGATCAATGTTCCATGCAACTGTTTGTGGGATTTGGTCTGAATGGGCAGAGAGAGAGAGAGAGAGAGAACTCCTCCTCCTCCTCCTCCTCCTCCTCCTCCTCCTCCTCCTCCTCCTCCTCCTCTTCCCCCCCCCCTCCACGTCCTGCTCCTCCTCCTCCTCCTCCTCCTCCTCCTCCTCCTCTTCCTCCTCCCTCCCTCTGCCCCTCTTCCTCCTCCTCCTCATCCTCTTCTCCCTTCTCCTAATTCTCCTCCCCCTCCTCCTCCTCTTTCTCCTGTTCCTTCTCTTCCTCCTCCTCGTTTCCGTTTTTCTCCTCTTCCTCTTCTTCTTCCTCCTCCTCTTCCTCCTCCTCCTCTTCCTCCTCCTCGTCTTTATCCTCCATTTCTTTTCCTTGTCAACAACTTCTCCTTGTCGCACTCCGAGGCAAGTGTTCAGTGCGGGCTGGGCGTTGCGCTTGAGGCTTCCTCACCGGTTATGATCCTGAATCTTAAACAGTGATCAACTTCACACATGGAGGGTTGGTCAGTTTCAAAATCTGGTTCTCGCTTTAGCGCGGCGCACATTCGTTTACAACGTTTACAAGGCTTCATGGATTGAGGGCGGGTCGTTTTCAACATGTGGCTCTCGCCTTAGCACGGCGCGCATTCGTTTACAACATTTGCAAGAGTTTGACGGATTGCGGGTGGGTTGATATGTTGAGGGGGTATTGCTTTTTCTCCCTTGCGCTCTTGAGCCAAAACGTTTCCGGTCTGTCTCTCAGCCGGCCGGCCGTGCTGCATGCTGCACCCAACGACCATGCTAAACTGCCATGCTGCTTCCTACTTTCCTTCCTGGGGCAGGGGTTTAACCCGAACGCCCCTCCTTGACCGCATCTTGTCTTCGCAGGACAGGCCACGCTCTAACCGCTGCCATTCTGAACTCAAACGCCCATGGTCGCAGAAAGGTCGCTCTCAGTCGTGCTCGTCGGCCAGCGCGGTGCTGCCCGCTTCCGGCTCGACCGCTTCTCTGGCAATCTTCAGTGCCTTCGGGTGCCGTCCTGTGGCCTCTCTGAAATTCATCAACTTCATGAAAGTCTCCTGCACTATGACGCTGACGGCTTTCGTCCCGATGTCCGCCAAGTTCTCGTCCTAGTGCACCTTCTTGATCCGGAGGCCTCTGCGATTGACGTGGTGTTGTAGCCAGAGCAAGCCCGTGTCAAGATGACGGACCTTGCCCAAGCCCACTCTTGACGCGATGCCCTTGCCTGCCGTGCTGTCGGTGTGCAAGTCTATGGACACCTGTCCCCCCATGTCTCGGAGCATCGATCTCATGCCGATGGCGGTGGAGCCGCCCTTGACCTGGGCCACAAACTCCGCCTCGCCAGAGCTCAATGCAGGGGCCGTCTGGGTCGCCACCTGCACTCGCAGACACTGCGCGCCGTGCATGGTGACTACGCAAGACACGCTCTTCCGATCAGGGTCCTGAGCCCGGTCGCTGTCTGCGTACACGTCGATCCTGCTGGGCCGGTCCCGCAACGGGAACTTCTGGCTCCACCGGCCGTGACCGTGAAGGCATCTCAAGCATCTCTTCGAGCGTGCCCAAGACCCAACCGTTGGCTCAGCCATGAGTCTCGCCAGCCGGTGTGCGCTGAGCCCGCACACCGGGGTCGTCTGCAGCGAGATCAGCTAGCCTCTCATTGTTGCGGGTCGGAACGCTGTCGCCCGCCCTCGGCCTACGGGGCTCCTCGTCGCGCATGTCCTCCAGCCGCTTGTCGGCTGGTGTCGTCACGGACTTCGACCGGCCGTCGAAACCAGCCAGGCCACGGAGTAAGTCAACATGGCGCGGGTCGGGTTACAAGAGAAACCACCCGAGACGCATCGTTCGAGTCCACCAACCCGTTCAGGATGGTCACGTGCTTGTCGTCTGCTGTGTCCCAGCCAAGCTTCGCACGTCTCTTCAGGATCATCACGCTCCGGAGGCACTCTCCGAGCCAGTCTAACCACTCATCAGGCCCCTCGAAAACTAAATCGTCTCCGTGGCGCCACCCAGCACTGTCCTCGGCAGCGCAATAGTACAGACAAGGTGATGACAGCCCCACCTCGTACTCGCGCCTGACGATCGCTTCGTTGAAGAATTCGTCCCAGGCTTTTGCTGCATCCCGTGTCCCGTACAGGGTGCGCATCAATCTGCCGGCGAAGCCTGCCTGAGCGTCCTCTTCTGGCAGCCGGATGTACAGCTCCCGGCGGCACTTTGGATGAAAATGCGCTCGAGAGACGTCCAAGACTAGGATCTTTCGCTCTCCGGGGCTCCTGGCTGGACCCCTCCTGCGCGACTGGAACCGGGACAACAGGTACTTCAACTGCTCCAGTGGTGGAGTCGCGGCAAAAGTGTTCTCCATCGCCGGCGACTTCCACTTGAACTCGCGCCCGACGAATCTAGCTCGAACGTCTGGTGCGTTCACATCCCCTTTGTTGGTTATGGTCCACCGTGTCGAGATGAACCTTTTGCCCTTGGCCATCGCCTCCGGCACCTCCTCATAGACGGGGAAAGTACGAAGAAACTCAATTTCCTTGACTTTGACCTCCCTGACGTCCTTCGGCCTCAGCCGTTCGCCCGTCAGCTCGTCGAAGAACTGCTCGAGCCCGTCTTCGTCCCATTCCTGGGTGTCGTGGCCGGTCAGGCCCGGCTCCAGGGCGTTGATGCTGACCGCGCCGTCCTGCTGCAGCTGCCTGCGCAGACCCCGCAACACTGCCGCCACTATGGCCGGCCTATTCTCCGCGGCGGGACTCACGGCCCCCGCGCTTCTGGTGGCATTTTCGTTGTCGTTGCCCTGGAGCTTCGTGAGCTCCTCGGCTATACATCCAGAGTTGGTCAACCATCCTGCGGCCCTTCCGGCCTTCACATGCTGGACGCTCTCATGCCCCAGCAGATGGATACCATCCTCCTCCTCCTCTCCCTCCTTCTCCCCCTGCTCGTGGACAGGGGCGGCACCGTCCATGTGCTCGTGGAGGAAGTAGTGTCCGTCTTGCAGCTGTCCGTGGTACAGGCTGCGATTCGTTCCAAAATGCGCATGCCCAATCAACAGTTTGGGACGGACAGTGCCCCGAAGGCCCTCCGCCTGCTCCACGTGCGTCTGGTCATCAAGATCCCAACCCGTAGTCAGATCTAGTGCGACCCCGGGGTGCACTCCCCACCAGGACGCCTGGTCAGTGAACCGCTTCCTGCAGAACTTTTCCGACTCGATAACGTCGACGTCGTCCTTGCTAGGCTGCTGGATCGCCTCCTGCAGCCGCGGCCCGATAGCCGCTCCCAGGTGCATCAGCTCGCCCACAACCTCCGCGACCTCGCGTCGCGCCCTCTTGGCAGCCCGATCGTGCGGACTACCTGCTGGGTCGTCCCCAGCCCTGACCTCACCTCTCCGCAGTGCGGTGCTACCCGCTTCTGCTCGAGGGGGTGCCTGAGCCTGGCCTGGACTGCTAGCCGGCACGGTGCTACCCGCTTCTGGCGAATCCGGCTGGCTCCGAGCGTCCGCCGGCGCGGGGCTACCCGCTTCCGGGGCGCTCCCCGGCTGTCTCCGAGCGTCAGCCAGCGCGGGGCTACCCGCTTCCGGCGCGCTCCCTGGCTGGTCCGACGGCGCGGGGCTACCCGCCTCCGTCGGCGCCTCTCCTGCGACTTCGCCTGGTCGTAGAACCTGTGCTCCCCCTGGTCGTCTGTCTGGTGGTGCTCCTGCCTCACCTCGTCGACGATGGGCTTCTTCGACTCGATGTCGAACCTCGGACCTCTCGTCCGCCAAGATCGCCGCCTCGATCCTGTTACGGCACTCCTGTGTGTGAAGGCGTGCTGGTCGGCCTTCAAATGCCGCTGCACATCCAGGACAATTATCTGAGAAACCGTATGCTCGAAGCTCAACCTCACGACGAATGTAAAATCTTCTCGGAATAACTTCCGGAGATCTTCGTTTCGGAACTCGTGGGGGCAACTCCGCCTCAGGGACGATTGGTTCAGTTGCCCGGAGGGGTTCGTAGTCGACGGTTTGGCCTCCTGGTTCTCCAGGTACTGGGTCCCAGGGGACCCCGACGATGGATTTCAAGAGCTCCGGATCGCTGGACTGGATCTCCGGCAACCGCTTCACGCAGTTCACCTTGAAGACGCCGCGGGGCGTGCCGACGAGCAACATGTTGCTGCGCTCCACCAGCCCCAAGTAGATGCCGGTCTCCCACCTGTCCTCGAACTTCCGTCGCCGCCGTGCCGTCGACATTGGCATGTACATCACGGCTTCCCCGAATGGAGGCAGCTTCCGGCGATAGGTCTTGCCTTTGCGTATCTCGCAGGCGGTCCTGCTGTCCTTGGCGGCAGGCTGGGACCTGTTCAGTAGTTGCCCTGCGTACTCCACGGCATAGATCCTCAGAGGGTGCTTAAGGGGCACCTGGACGCGATGATGTTCCAAGCACGCGTGCACTAGGGTGCGAGCCGTGCTCTGGACCTCCCAGATAGCACGCTCGACAACAGCATTCTGCTGCGACTCGGACGTGCTGCTCTCTTCCAAGATGACGTCCACAGGGCCAGCAACCTTCCGTAACTTCTTCACCACCTCCTGCTTGAGCGACTCGATCGCAGGCTCCCCGTCGCTCTTGTAGGTAAATTAGCCGAAGCCTGCCTGCATCACGTCGTCCACCGTGGCCTTCACAGCGTACGTCTCTGGACCCTTGCGTGGAACCACGCGTGCCGATACCCAGCGATCGCCGTAGAAATTGTGGACAAGGATGGGCAAGCACTTGTCGGTAGCCTTGTCGCTCTCGACGGCGTCACCCATGAAGCAGTAGTCACAAGCCACTCCCTGGACACCCAAGTCGTCGGAGGTCTTCAGGAAGTGTGGGTCCGCCTTACCCTTGCCAGCCACGCAGCTACGGCACCAAGCAGCGTAGGGCATGTGATCGATCTCATGCCTCGCTCTCTCCTCCGGCGTCGGGAGGTTCGGTGCCATCATCGCCGGCACGCCGCCTCCCCGAGTCCCGAAGATCGCGTGCTCGATGTGCTGCTTCTGCTGCTGCTCCTCCTCCTGCTGCTCGTCCGTCCCATCCTCCTCCATAGGGCTACTACTCGGCTCAGGCACGGCATTGTTGCCGCCTGCCCTTCCTGAGCCGGACTCCAGGGGACTTACGGACTCGCCGGCCCCCCGAAGGGGGGTGGCGGCGGCAGCACGACCTCGGCGTCGATCTCAAATTTACCTCCTCGACGTGTGATCTCGATCTCCTTCCCGGTCTTGCAGTGCTTGGCGTAGCACCGGCCGCCGCACTTGAAATGCAGGTCGTGGCCGCCGTCCATCATCGAGCACATCGCCAGCAGAGGCTTCCTCACCAGTACCACGTTCACGTTGGCGCTCCTCCTCAAACCTCCTGTCCTCGAATCGTACCGCCGTCGCCCAAGACTGGGAAGGCTAGGGGCTTCATGATCTCCTGGCCCAAAATACTTCACTCCCCGACGAGATTCTGGACTCTCCTCCGTGGCCACCTGCGGGAAGAGCTCTGGGGGCCACACCGTGACCTCCGCGCCGCTGTCGAGGCCCATCGTTACGCGGTTCGTCGCCGTCTGGGCGTGGACCATGCCGACCTCCTGCGTCTCGGAGACCCGGCACAGCTCCACGCTCCCACAGTCCTGGTCCTTCAGCGCGCCGATGCTCAGGCTGAGCGCCCGCATCTGCTCCTCGATCGCAGCGATGTCCAACCTCGGCCTCTTCCTGCTCTGATCCCTGTCTTCTCCTCCTTTGCTATCCTTTCCTCCTCCTTTGCTATCCTTTCCCTTACCTTTTCCTCCTCGTCCTTTCCCCTTTTCTTCCTCCTTTTCTTTTCCTCCTCCTCCTCGTCCTTTTCCAGCGCTCGACGGCGGTGGCTTTCTCTCTTGATTCCACCAGCAGTCTACTTTCTTATGGCCAGGCTTGCCACAGCAGTAGCAATCTCCGGCGAACTTGATCTTGAGCTCGCCCTTTACCTGGTTCTTCTGGCTAGTTTTATCGCCGGCTCCCACGGCCAGGACTTCCGCCGAACCGCCAGGGACGAGCCACTGCTTGACTCCGAGGTACTCCTGGATCTCCCTCTTCATCTCGATGAAGGTGTCCACGCGGTACGCGTTGAGAACGAGGTGGTCGCCCAACTTCTTCTGCAACTCGCTGCCGCCGGCCAGCGCCTTCAACAGCACTCCGGTCCGGGTGTCGTCGTCGACGGTCTTCTTGGTGTCGGCCTGGTATTGGCGGATCTGCGTCTCGAGCCTGTCGATGCCCTTCCGCGGGTCCTCGTCCTTGTTGAACGTGAAGCTGAGGTACGCCTGCTGCAGGGCCATCTTGCGAGACGCGAACTTCGGCTCGAACTCCGGCATCGTCAGGATGACGTACAGCTGTGCGTCCAGCTGGTCGTCGCCCGGGTCCAGGTCCACCCTGTCGAGGCCCTCGTCGAAGCTCTCCGCCTTCTGGATGAGCTCCAGCATCCGGCCGGAAACTGCTCCGAGGTGGGCTCGCACGGTCGGAGACCACCTCGGCCAGTCTGCATCCTTCCCGCGGAACTCGCCTGGCTTGTGGAGGGGGAGGAGGAGGAGGAGGAGGAGGAGGAGGAGGAGGAGGAGGAGGAGGAGGAGGAGGAGGAGGAGGAGGAGCCTTGTGTCCACGCTGGTCGGGACCAGCGGGGCAGCTCTCGCACGAGCCGCGGCCTCGCTCCTCTTGGTGTCGTCGGCCTCCTCCTTCCTGGCCTCGTCGTCCTCGTCCTTCCTGAGCTGTTCCTGCAGCTGCGTGCTCCCGTCCTCCAAGCGCTGGAGTCTTCCGAACGCTGCTTTGACTTGTTCCTCCACTGTGGAGCTCGTCGAGGTCGTCGTCGGTCTCCTTCTCGAGGCGCTTCAGGTTCAAGGCCCTCTGCTCCTCTGTGGATGGCTGCTCGCCCGCTGCGTGTCGCCGCAGCGCCGAGCCTCGTAGTTGTCGGTTGGACCTCGACTCTGCCGATCGAAGTCTCTGTTTGCCCATGCACAGATGAGCCCAGCCGAACCTGAGACCACGGAGCCACCCGCTTGTCTCAGATCTGACCAGGCTCCGCTACCATGTTGAGGGAGTACTGCTTCTTCTCCCCTGCGCTCCTGAGCCAAAAAACGTTTCCGGTCTGTCTCTCTGCCGGCCGGCCGTGCTGCATGCTGCACCCAACGACCATGCTAAACTGCCATGCTGCTTTCCACTTTCCTTTCTGGGGCAGGGGTTTAACCCGAACATGATTTCAACATGTGGCTCTAGCCTTAGCGCGGCGCACATTCGTTTACAAAATTCGCACCGCGGTGCACATTCGTTTTTTATACCAAATGCGGCAGTTTCACGGATTGATGGCGGGTCGCTTTCAACATGTGGCTCTCGCAATCGTGCCGCGCACATTCCTTTACACAATGTACAAGGGTTTCACGGATTCCTATCATCAGCGTGGCAGGGATGGTGTTTCGAAAAGATTCAGGATCATGCGGGTGCAACAACTATCTGGATTCGTTGGGTTGAAGTCCTAGGACTCGCGTTCTGCTGCGATTCAGGATTGTCAAGACGCAACAGTCCGCTTGATCCGTGGTGTTGAAATCCTGAGAACCATGCTTTGGCATGCTACAGGGCAAATCGGCAGTTCCTTCAATGGTCATGAACCGTTGTAAGGGCCTACGACGAGGGAGCTTGGAGGGAGGGTTTCTTCCAACATCGTTGATGACTCTTGGGTTTACAGTGGTCCTCCTCCTCCCCCTCCTCCTCTTTCTCCTCCTCCTCCTCTTCCTCCTCCTCCTCCCCCTCCTCCCCCTCCTCCTCCTCCTTCCTTCAATGGTCATGAACCGTTGTAAGGGCCTACGACGAGGGAGCTTGGAGGGAGGGTTTCTTCCAACATCGTTGATGACTCTTGGGTTTACAGTGGTCCTCCTCCTCCCCCTCCTCCTCTTTCTCCTCCTCCTCCTCTTCCTCCTCCTCCTCCCCCTCCTCCCCCTCCTCCTCCTCCTCCGCCTCTTCCTCCTCCTCCTCCTCTTCCTCCTTTTCCTCCTCTTCCTCTTCCTCCTCATCCTCCTCCTCCTCCTCCCTCCTCCTCCTCCTCCCCCTCCTCCTTTCCCTCCTCCACCTCCTCCTCCTCTTCCTCCTCCTCATGCTCCTCCTCCTCCTCCTCCTCCTCCTCCTCCTCCACGCCCGCTCGTCGTCGTCTACGTATCCATTGCTTTGCCGACCAGCGCGGGCCCTCGCACCCCGCCCGCTCCCCCCCCCAATGGAGCAGATCTTGGCCGCTTCGGGCGCCGTTTTTTCCGGGCAGGCGCAGCCTCCCCCCTAACGGACGCCCCGCTGCAAACGGGCGCACGGAGCAGAGGTCCGGAGCCGGAGCCCGCCCCCCCCCCCGGCGCCCGTCCGCCCAATGCCGGAACGCCGAAGGAAGAAAACGTTGCACCTCCACCTCCTCCTCCTCCTCCTCCTCCTTCTCCTCGCCCTCCTCCTCCTCTCTCCTCTCCTTCCCTCCTCCTCCATCCTCATCTCCCTCCTCCTCATCCTTCCTCCTCCGCCCTCCTCCTCCTCCTCCTCCTCCTCCTCCTCCTCCTCCTCCTCCTCCTCCCCTGCGCTCGTCCGCCCAGTGCCAGAACGCCGAAGTAAGAAAACGCCGGCGCCCTCCAGAGAGGGGGGCTCGCCCTCGAGGATCGAAGGGGCGCGCTCCAGGCAGCGCCCCGCGCGGCGCGCTCCGGGGGAGGGGCCCCAGCGGAAGGCGGGCGGCGGGCGGCGGGAGCTGTGGGCGCGGCCGCCCCTGCCGGCGGAAGGCGGCGGAAGGCGGGCGGAAGCCTCGACGGCTCAAGACGTTGCGTCGCAGCGACGGTCGTGCCAGGTCGCAAGTCCTGGCCAGTGCTTGCCCCCTGACGGCCGCGCCATGTTGGGTGCTGCACGCCGCGGAGGGGGAGAGCTTCGGTGACTACTGCGAGGTGAGCGTTCGCGGGCTGCCCGACCCGCGAGGACGGCAACACCGAGTTTGGCCAGACGTGTTGCTGGAAAAAGGGCGTACGGGCGATGCGTGGCAAGCGTGCCCTGAGGCGTGCAGCGCGGCTTGCGCTGGTGGTGGGTGCGGCCTGGTACCGTGGACAGAAGATCACACGAGCCTCAGCCGCGCAGCTGGTCTCTCCCGAGAGTGTCGCGGAGCTGACCCAGACGCCACATCGAGCAGATGAACGAGTATGTGAGAAGTTGGAGAGAAACACGTGTCAAGCAAGACAGCGATCCGCATGGAAGCAACGTGCACTGAAGGTGTGGAGCTTCAACGTGGAGTCGCTGCGGAGAGTCGGGAGGATGGATGAGTTGTTAGAGTTGGCAAGGGCTGAGGACGTGGTCATTTTCACGATGCAAGGCACGCAGATGGACTTAGGCAAGACATGGAAGTCGGGCAGCTTCGAGGTTCACTCCTTGGCGAGATCGGGCAAAGGTCAGCGAGACGGATGCCTCACTGCGATAAATTTGAAGTTCTTCCAGAAGGGGGAGGTCAGATGTGAGCATGCTTGGTTGGAAGGTAAACTACAGGGAGTGCGACTTCGCAGCATCAACAAGCGCAGGTACGAGCGCGACATATACGTGCTGAACGGTTACGCACCCACGAATGAGGCTGGCCACGTTCCTAAGGGAGTTGAAGCAATGGAGTATCGCGAGAAGCACTTGGAGGCCAGAGACACGTTCTGGCAAGTATGTCGGCGAGCTGTTGGTCAGGTGCCTGCGCGGGCCTCATTGGTCATCACGCTCAACGCGAACGCACGCGTCCCGCCGATGCTGCCTTGGGTGGGGTTTGCAGGTGTGCGCAGGACGGGGCCAGCGATCAACGGCAACGGTCACGAGCTGATGGGCCTGATGGAGGACTACGGGCTCATGGCGCTGAACACGTTCGGGAAAAAGGGGGCGATCCAATGGCACGTGGAAGAGCCCACAAGGAGGTTGGACGACGATAGACTACGTGCTGGTGCGAAGGCAAGGGGGATATGGACACTCTGCTCATCCAAGGGCCGATTTACATGTGAACTTGGGCGGCTACATGGACCACAGACCTTTGGAGGCACAGATCTATGTTGGGGTGAAGGCCAAGACGGTGAAGGAAGTTGGCAAATTTCGGTGGCGGCGGGAGCTCATGAGTGCAGACCTGCTGAAGGTGCAGCAAGCAGAGGCGGATCTCGACAACCAGGAGCAGCTTCCGAAACGCGCGCTCAACTTCAGACTCAAGGTTCAGGAGGGGCTCGAGTGCAAGGGGCTCTATGAGGACTGGGCAGATGTGTGCGGTAAGGGCAAGCAGTACGAGTCGCCGTCGGAGTATTTCAACGAGCTCGAGGGAGTAGTGATCGAGGCGGCTTTGCAGGACTACATCTCACCACCTGTGACGGGGAAAGGCGATGGCCCAGTGTTCGGAGATGAGACGGTGAAGCTGATTCAGACTAAACAGCACTGGCAGTACCAACTGGCAGCTCTTCCTGAAGGCGCAAGGTGGATGAGGACGCTATTACAGGAGCGGTTTAATGAAGCGGCGAATATTAGGGCAGCGGCGATCAGGAGCGAGAAGCGGCACAGGACGGCGGAGATGGCGGCAGTGGCAGAGAGAGCGGCAAGCCAAAGGAACCTAAGGCGCCTACACAACACCGTGAACAAGTTTGCACCCAAGCCTGCGGCACCCATTGGAGCGGTGAAGGATCCAGCCACAGGCCTGCCATGCTTCGACGCAGTGGACGACCAGCGCGTGCGCATTCAGAGCATCTGTGACATATGCGAGGGCCAGGCGATGGAGCTAGACGCGCGCCCTCC